GGCAGGGACCTACTGCTCTGCTCAGATCCGCTCTCTGGGGCTCAGTCTCGGGGGTTGGATGCCAGGGCCTGGAAGGGCGGAGGGTTTAGTCACTGGGGTCTGTGGCCTCGACCTCTCACCTCTCCCACTGACAGGATGGCCTCTCAAACTCGGTGTGGCCACCTGTGTGGTGGGCAGTGGTCTAGGCGCGGAGCCTGGAGAGTCAGCCTGGGGGCTTGGTTCTTCCTCGGGAGCTTGGAGCCTCATGCCCAGCGTGGTGCTGGGCTCCCTCCCTGCAGCAAGGGTCTCGGCAGGGGAGAGGGTTGGAGTGGGGCACGCGATCCAGGCCCCTAGCCTCCAGCCAGTGTTGGTGGAAGGCAGGTTTGAGTGGCAGATACAGGGACAGAGGGACAAAGCAAAGGGGCTCAGGGCCTGCTCTGTCCCTGGGCTCCCGGGGAGGTGGCCTCCCTTAGCTACTGCCAGGCACTGGGAAGTGGGCACTGCAGTTCCCACGCCTCCCACTCACAGCTCTAATCAGCTGCTTGGGCGAGGTTTGGGAAATGCCACCCAAACCTCGGCTAATAGGATGGGAGCCCAATAATCTCATCGTGGGCCATGAGGCTGGCAGGGTCCCGGACGCAGTGTCATCCTCACCATCACCCCCTCTGTCTGTGCTTTCTGACGCCCAGTGTTGCTGAACCCTAAATGCTTCCCACGGTGGTGCACACTGGTGTCCTCACCAGGTGGAGGGAGGTGCCACCGTTGTTCGCTGGTTGGGTGACAGTGGAAAGGCTCTGCTGCAGAGTGTCCCTGACCACTGCCCCGCCCTCCTGATCCAGGGGCCGGTGGACCCACCCGGTGTCTGCGGTGGTGGACCCCCCTGCACCGGGTGCCTGTCCTGCCACACGTGGAGCCTGCCCAGTGCCACTCCATGCCAGCCAGGCTTCCCTCTGTCCCAGGTTCTGTGGTCCCCCATGTTCCCAGCATCCCACCGGCCTCGGCCTCCAGGAGCCCCTCCCTGGTTCGGGACATAGTGCTGTGCGTCTGTTTGCCTTTTCCTTGGCCTCTGTGGACCCGCTGCCCTGAGGGAGCGTCCTCTGTGGGGCTCCTGCCCTCCCCGAGGCTTCTTGACAAATCACTGTCACCTGCAGCTTTGCCTGCTCTTTAGTTGTTCACTCACTCGCTCACTCATTCACTCACTCATTCACTCACTCATTCACTCACTCATTCATTCACCATTCATTCACTCACCCACTCACTCACTCACTCACTCACCCACTCACTCACTCACTCACTCACTCATTCACACATTCATTCATTCACTCACTCACTCACTCATTCACTCACTCACTCATTCACTCAGTCATTCACTCACTCATTCATTCACCATTCATTCACTCACTCACCCACTCACTCACTCACTCATTCACTCATTCACTCACTCACTCACTCATTCACTCAGTCATTCACTCACTCACTCATTCGTTCATTCACTCACCCACTCACTCACTCACTCACTCACCCACCCACCCACTCACTCACTCACTCACCCACTCACTCACCCACTCACTCACTCACTCATTCACTCACCCACTCACTCACTCACTCATTCACACATTCATTCATTCACTCACTCACTCACCCACCCACTCACTCACTCACTCACTCACCCACTCACTCACTCACTCACCCACCCACTCACTCACTCACTCACCCACTCACTCACCCACTCACTCACTCATTCACTCACTCACCCACTCACTCACTCACTCATTCATTCATTCACTCACTCACTCATTCAACAAAATTTATGCCACACCTTCTCTGTGTCCCTGAGGAACGTGATGGTGGGGTAGGTGGCTGCTCTCAGAGAGCCTGTGGCTTGTGGGGGGAGATGAGCTGCCACCCCCATAAGTGCCTAGGTTGGTCGAGAGGTGCTATGCTGGAAAATGGCAAGGTGCTGTGCGTTGGGTTTTTTTCCCCACCCAGAGGGGTTCCGCTAGACCACATGTGGCCATGGGGGTGGCAGTGTGTGACCCAGGACAGCAAAGCTGGGGCCAGTGACCTGACAGCAGGGCTAGGCTGCCTGCCTGGGAGACTCTCCCAGGTCCCAGGTTCCGGGGCTCAGCTCCCAGGTGTGGTCCAGGCTGCGGTGCGGGGAGGACTTTCCTTTCCATGGGGAGGGCCTGGGTCTTGTCCAGGCCCGAGACCTCTCTTTATGGGTCAACTTCGTGGTGGGGAGGGTCCCCCCAGGGACCCTGTCCTGGCAGGTGGGCTGGGGGCTGCCCCCAGGCTCCTGCCCCTGCTCACGGGCCTTCTCTCCTCTCTCCACAGCTGAATGCAGCGCTGGCCTCTGTTTTAACGGCGGCAGCTGCGTTCCCGGCTCAGCCCAGCTGTGCCACTGTCCCCAAGGCTTCCAGGGTCCCCGCTGTCAGTACGGTGAGTAGAGCCCCCGTCAGGCACCGAGGCTCTGACCGTGGGCAGGGGGCACAGTGTTCAAGGGAGACCCTGGACGACTGTCCCTCTCCAATACCCTCACCCTGCGCCCTGCAGCCCAGCTGAGGTTGTGGGAGGAGGGGGTGACCCTGAGGCTCCTTCCTCAATGGGTGCCTCTGTACCCCATAATCTTGGAGCCGCCCCCATTCAACCATGCCCTCTGTGGATGGGAATGCAGGTGCAGAGGCGGGCACGGACTGGTGGGGTTGCTGGGCAGCGCAGGAAGTGGCTTGTCCCAGGCGTCTCCGAACTGCCTGCCCACCAGCTGGAGTCTCCCATGTCCTTAATGTTGGAAGGTGGGGGACACCCAGGGGTCCTACCTGAGGTGGTCGGTTGAGAAAATGGTGGCACACTGGGCACTGAAGCCTGACACCCCATGGGGCACTGTCCCTGGGGGAAATGTTGGCGGGGTGCTCAGGGCGAGGATGGCTAGCGTGTGGGGGCGATAGGACTTTCGTCAGGTGCGCACACGTGCGTGAACATGGTCAGAAGTATGCCCCGAAAGTCTCTGATTGGTGGGAGGCAGGAGGCGCCTCTGGTTCCCGCTCCCCGCGGCGCGTGGGCTGGCCCGCGGGGTCCTGCTGGGACAGGGCGCAGAGCCACGCCGGCCGCCCGCACAGGCCAAACGCTCCCAGCGGCTTCCCGGGCTTTGAACTCGCCTCCGCTGAGCGGCTGGGGCTCCTTCCGGTGGACACCAGGGCAGACATCCTGAGATGCCCCCCCAAGGTCCAGACGCCCAGCAGGCGACCGGAGGGAGAGCAGGAAATTGTGGGGAGTGGGAGGCCCCCTGCTTGCAGAGGGGAGCCCTCCCTGTCACTGTTCCCTGTGTGTGCACATGTGGTGCCCACTCCTAGTGCCTGGCTGAGGGCCGGGGGCCCAGGGAGGGGTGCTGCTGGCCATTGGAGAGGCTGGCTGGTCGAGGGCCCCCTGCTCGCCGAAGGCTGTGTGCTGGGCTCTGGGTATCTGGGGCGGGGGCTGCTGCCTCGCGCAGGTGGGAGAAGGGCCCCCCCAGGTGCCAAGGGTCCTCGCTTTGTGCCCGCACCAACCAGGCTCCTCCAAGCCTCCGCCAGGCCTCCCGCTGGGTCAGGCTTCTTCCCCTCTGTGGGCTGGCCAGGAGCGACCCAGCCCACCCTGATGCAGGCAGGGGTCCAGGCCAGGAATGGGGGGCCCCTCTCCTCCTCTCGGGGTCTGTAATTAGGCTGACAGGTGGTGTGGAGAAAAGCTCTGAGGACCTTGGGGCTCATTCCTGCTGCTTGACTTGGATTTCCCTGGGAAATACCAGGGCCTTGGGTGGGGGGCTTGGGGGGCAGGGGGAGGGCTGTGGTTGGACAGTCAGCAGCATGAACGCTGCTGTGGTCCCTGTGCGGGAGAAGGGCGGGGAGGAGGTGACTCTGGAGGGTGGCC